CCCTGCCTCCCTGCCTCCCTGCCTCCCTGCCTCCCTCCTTCCTCCTCCTCCTCCTCCTCCTCCTCCTCCGCCTCCTCCTCCTCCTCCTTATCATCAGCATCATCAGCATCATAGTATTGTTTTTGTTAGTGATAGTATTAGTATTGGTATTAGTATTTTTGTTATTAATATTAGTAGTATTAGTATTCGAATTAATATTAACTAGAACCACGCGCGCGCTTCGCGCGCGCTTAGGTTCTAGCTAGGAGGCGAGCTTGAGTCAACGAAAGTCGCAGGGAAGGGGGCAGGGGGAAGAAGGCCAGAGAGCGCTGAAGGATACAAATACTGGAACCCTCTTGTGATTTTGTGGGGGGCCTCGTCCGGCCGCTCGCTGGGAGTTTGACGTAGCTTCTCGGGAGCCTCTGAACCTGTCGGGGGCCTCCTGGAAGCAGGTTCGAAGCATTTTGGGGGCCGATTTGGGGCTTCTCGGGGCCTCCTTTGGGCCTCTTGGGGGTCTCCTGGGGCCTCTTGAGGGGCCTCCTTGGGGCCTCCTGGCGGCCTCTTGGGGCGGAAGGCTCGAGCTTGCGGTTCGTGGTCCCCCTCTGGGCCCCCTCTTGGGCCCGTCTTGGGGCCCTCTTGGGCCATCTTGGGCGCCTCTTGGGCCGTCTTGGGGCCCTCTTGGGCTGTCCTGGGGCCCTCTTGGAAGCTTCTTGGGCCGTCTTGGGGCGGTCTTGGGCGCCTCTTGGGCCGTCCTGTAACGTCGGAAAGCCCAAAAGGCGACTTTGTGAAACATGTACGTTTTACGAAGGGAATGGGCCAATTTTTGCGTCTAGGGGCCCTCTTGGGACGCATGTTGGAGGCTTCTTGGGGCGTCTTGGGGGCGTCCTTGGACGTCTGGAGGCCATCTTCAGCATCTTGGAGCCCTCTTGGAGGCCTCTTGGAAATTTCTTGGGCCGTCTTGGGCGCTTCTTGGGCCGTCTTGTCTGACCGGGGAGGCCTCTGGCAAGCCCCGACGAGCCTCCGGGGCCCCCCGGGCGCACATTTGTGGTCAAGGTCCCGGCCCCGGGCCCCCGGACCCGGTGCGCCGTTATATGTATAAATCCAGATTATTATGACGATGATTATTATTGGCAGTTCTAGTATCATTATTCTTATTATTAATGTTATTAGTATTTGTCGTATTGCGATCAGTATTATTATTATTTGTACTGTACTAGTAGTATGGTGATTATTATTACTAGTAGTATTACTGATATGAATACTAGTATTGTTAGTATTAGTATTCGTATTCGAATTACTATTCGTATTACTAGTACTAGTCGTAGCATTAGTATTATTATTGTTGGTATGATCAGTGTTAATATGATTCGTATTCGTCGTACTACTACTGTTATTATTATTACGATTATTAGCAGCAGCAGCAGCAGCAGCAGCAGTAGTAGTAGTAGTAGTAGCAGTAGTAGTAGTAGTAGTAGTAGTAGTAGTAGTAGTAGTAGTAGTAGTAGTAGTAGTAGTAGTAGTAGTAGTAGTAGTAGTAGTAGTAGTCGTAGTATCCTCCTCCTCCCTCCTCCTCCTGTCCCTCATCCTCCTATTATCATCCTCCTCCTATTATCCTTCTCATCCTCCTCGTCCTCCTCCTCTTCCTCCTCCTCCTCCTCCTCCTCCGTCCTCCTCCCTCCTCCCTCCTCCTCCTCCTCCTCCTCCTCTTTCCTCCTCCTTCCTCTCCTCCTCCTCCTCCTCCCGCCTCCTGCCTCCCTCTCCTCCTCCCTCCTCCCTCCTCCCTCCTCCTCCTCCCCCTCCCTCCTCCCTCCTCCCTCCTCCCCATCCTCCTCCTCCCCTCCTCCTCCTCCTCCTCCTCCTCCTCCTCCTCCCTCCTCCCTCTCCCTGACGCTGCCCCGAACAGTCGCCGCCCCCTTCCTCGAGGGGAGATCGCGGCCGGCGGCCTTGCCACCCATCTCCAGGTCCTCGGGCGACCTCGGAGGCGAGCCGCTGGGGTCGCTGCGCCTCCTCGCCTCCCTCCTCGCCTCCCGCCGCGCCCCCTCCTCGCCTCCCCTCCCCTCCCCCCTCCTCCCTCCCTCCTCCCCCTCCCCTTCCTCCCCTCCTCCTCCTCCCTTCCTGCTCCCTCTCCTTCCTCCCCTCCCTCCTCCTCTCCCTCCCCTCTCCCTCTCCTCCCTCTCTCTCCTCCCTCCCTCCCTCGCTCCCTCCCCCCCTTCCTCCCCCCCTGCGCACACGACGGGAAAACTGTATGACACACGCTTGAGGTTAAGCTTGTCGAAGGTAGCAAGCGTCGGGTCCCATCAGAGCCCGCTTCTGTTCGGGTCTGCGATTGGGGGGGGTCAAGAGTCCAAGGGTCCGCGCCTGTGAAAGGGTTGGTGTGGGACTCGTGCCTGTAGTCTCTTTCGGACCATTTTAGATTGGGAGGTCTGTACGGGAACAGTTCCTGGGGCCAAACAGTCGATCCCGAGAGGGGAGCTCCTGACAATGGTATCAGTTGTGCGTTATAGGCGGGGTTTCACAACCCTTGTAAGTGATGCCGAGTCGGTATGCGCGGGCTGGCATCAATAGAGAATCCTTATGGCTCAATGCCAGAACTCGCGAGCATCAAGATATGTGGTGCTTCTGGACCGGTTGCAGCGCGAGCGTGGCTTCAACGAATCCTTGTGCTAAAGGCCCCGTTTCGCCCGTCGAGTACTCAGCTTGTCCAGGGGGTTGTCCCGCTCTGGATGGCCACGGGCAACGAATCTGCCAACGAGCTGCCGGGTCTCACGGCCCTAGAGGCACAACTCGATACTGTGCTTCGCCGCCGTGTGGCATCTTCTCGGCAACTGGCCTAGCTCGTCCGGAATATGGTTCTTCGTGCCAGCCTCGAAGACGGCGCTGCCCTCCCTCTCCTGCGGTCCTCGTTGTGCTCTCATCGCGGCATGAGTCACCCGACGAAGGTCGGAGCTGCGATCGATGTGGAGGTTGCGCGGCCAAGTCTGGACCTACAGAGACGCACCCTGTTCCCCAAACAATGCGTGCACTTAGGGGTTCTTCCTTCTGTTTCTGAGGAATCTGGTTGGTCCGCCGGTGGGGGTTCGTCACGTTGCCGCCGTTGCTGCCTCGTTCTGTCCGCCGCGCTTCATGGGTCCGCCCAAGTTTCGCCACGTTGCCGCCCGTTGCGGCTTCGTTGGCGCCAACCGAGCTCGGGGGTCCGCCAAGGTTCCGCCATGCTGCCACTCGTTGCCGCCCACAGCGCTTGGGAAGTCCGACGAGGGTTCGCCACGTGGCCGCCTGTTGCCGCCTCGTTGCCGCGCTTGGGGGGGTGCACACCGAGGGTTCGCCATGTTGCCACCCGTGGCCGCCATTTTGTCGCGTGCACGGCGTAGCTTGAACCGCATATATTGCACAACATAGCGCGGCATAGCTTACACCGCATAGCTGTAACCTTATCAACATACGTCACATAGCTTACACCACACAGCTTCCACCTCCACAATGCAATACACGCTGGCAAACCCCCGTACTCCTTGCTCCGCCAAATTCGGATTTCCGAACGTTGCTGAATGGTGTCCGCCCATATTCGTGGAGCGTTGACTCATGCGACCCATGAGATGCTGTACGTATCACGTATCACATTGGTGTGCGTCTGTGTTTTGTTCAGCTCGTGAGGGGGTTCAGATGGGGATTCTCAGCTGCGGGCTCTTGCCCAAGAATGTCTAGCCTCTCCTCTTCTCCCCTAGTTAATTACCACCCCCTCCTTTCCCTCTCCCCCTTGCTCCCTCGCTCATTCGCTATTGTTCCCTTCCTCCCTCCACTTCTATCTCAGCTCCATCGCCCCTCCTCCCTCTCCCCTTCTGCCCCCGCTCGTCCTACGCCAACCGAGTGCGGGGCGCATAGGGCGAGGCAAGGCACGACCTCACAGGAGGAGGGGGTGGAGGCAGAGAAGGCCTCCTCGCAACATCTCGCAGCTGAGCAACGCTGGGGCCCCCTTCTGAATTGGCACCCCGCACACACCAGCTCCTTCTTTTTACCGCCTCGCAGCCGAGCAGCGCTGGGGCCCCCTTCTGAATTGGCACCCCGCATGCACCATCTCCTTTTTCACCGCCTCGCAACCGAGCACGGCTGGGGCCCCCTTCTGAACTGACACCCCGCACACACATCAACTCTTATCTACAGAACAGAGAAGAAGCGGCCAAGCAGAGCCTACCTGAAGGAACACATCCTGAGAGAACATCCCCAGAGACACGACGCCGTGACACATTGCACCCCCGCCAGAAAAAAAAGCAACACTACCAGAGCCCTAGACCTTATCTTTTTTCGGCAAACCAAAAAGAAACCGCTAGGCAGAGCCTATCTGAGGGACCATATCCTGAGAGACCATCCCCAGAGACACCACGCCGTGACACGTTGCACCCCCGCCAGGAACCACGACCGAAACCCTAGACTTGGGTCGGACATGTCCCCCTGCAGGCGGATTCTGGACAAACGCAGAGGATAGTCAAACACTGCTCCAAAAATGGGCAAACATACGAAACAACCGCCCCCAGACTTTGTGTTGACTGTGTTTGGGTATGCCTCCTGCAGAGGGGCACGCCCGACTCAACCCTGGACCTGCTCTTTCCGCGGCGTGCCTGGAAGCCCTGGTCGCCCTCCGAGGGCCCCAGGCCCCCCTCAGGGGCCCGCACATCCTGGGCGAGGGGCGCCCAGTACCGCCGGCCCTCATTGGACAGGGCACGCGAGAGGGCACGAGACCCGTCTGAGGGCCACGTTGCCAAGGGGGGATGTCGGAGGCATGGATCGCGAGGCACAGGACACAAGGGTACCCAAGGGTACCCTCGATTTGGCAGGGTCGACCTACTAACCAAGGCCGGCTGCACGAAAGAAACAGACGGCGACGTCGGGATCTCAGCTCCATAGTGGAGCTGAGATCCCGATGGTGCGAAGCGAGCGGTTCTCCAGGATGGCAGGGTTTCAGGGAGGCGCAGCTGCCCAAGCTCCAGTGCAGCCCCGCCTCCTCCCAAAGACCCCAGAGGGGGAGGGAGGAGGGAGGGCGGAGGAGGGAGGGAGGAACGGAGGGCGGGAGAGAGGGAGGGAGGGAGGAGCGGAGGAGGGAGGGGGGAGCGGAGGGAGGAGGAGGGAGGAGGAGGAGGAAGAGGATCGCACTTCACTGAGGGAGAGAGAGAGAGAGAGAGAGAGAAAGAAAGAAAAAACAAAAAACGACGGTCCTGCAACAAAAACAGGGGGGGGGTCCATCGGAGAGGACCTTTTTGTCACCCTGGCAGGAGCCCGAGACCTGCTAGGGGCCAAGACAGGACCCCCCCCAGGAAAGATCACAACCGTCTTGCTCGTCGTCGGGCATATCTGCCCGCCCTTTTTGAAGGAGCCTGGTCCCCAGGCTGCGGGCTGCCACCTCGCTGAGACCAAACGCCTGCAGGCAGTCGGCCATGCAGAGATACCGCCCAGTCTGGCGACTCGGGGCAGCTGCGCCCCGCGCTCCCCCTTGGCTGGGCCCCTGAAGGAACGAAAGATCCCCCGAACAGCTCCCGAGCCTCCGCCCCAGGAGAGACCCAGGGGCCCAGCCTAAGAGGACGGTTCGGATGCTTGCCCTTGGAAGCGGCACGCTTGTTCGTGCGCCCTGGATCCACAATGGCAGCCTGGGGACCAAGACAGAGTCCCTGGAGGCCACGAGCCCCTGGGCCGATAGTCGCATAGGCCCCACAAGTGGAGCAAACCGGCAGCGGAGCCGGGTTGTCTCCCAGGACGGGGAACTCCAGCATATGGTGACCTCCCTCGGCCCACGGGACTTGAGCTGCGTTCGCAGCCAGGCGGGCCAACTCGGGCGCCAAGGGCTCGGGGGGGGGGACTGGGAGGGGCTCTCGGGTTGAGGCGGGGCGAGGGCAGCAGCAGCAGCAGCAGCCGCCTCCTCTTCCTCCCTCTTAGCCACCTCCACAGCCTCTCCCATCTGGGGTTACCCCTCCAGGGAAACCAACGTGAGCCCTTGGGCCCCGATGTTGCCGAGTCGGCCCTCCTCTGAATAAACGACTTCAGCACGAGTGATAAATCTGGCCAGCTGTCCAGTTAAAAAGAACATGCCCTTAGCTGCCAGCACCTCGGAGGGATCATGCCTGCTGAGGGTGGCTCCTGCTTTGGCCAAACGGTCGGCTTCAGACTTGCCCGTTCTTTCAAAGGTCGAGATCCGCCCCTCACGAACATCCACCTCCGACGTGTGAGCCGACGCTTCTTTTCCAGGACATGTCGCCGAGCGAGCCCTGGGCACAGATCTGGCTCCACAAATGTGCCCTGACATTGCCCCTGCCGGAGCGCTCCCTTGCAATCAAAATAGAAAGTATAGGTGCCACCAAGGAAGCGAGCGGCTACAACAACAGCATAGTCTTCGCCATCTCTGGCAACCTGATCTGGGCACATGGTGGGTGGGACGGAAGCGAACCACCCTGCTACCCAGCGACGCTCGTGACCATAGACAGCTATCCGCCAGCCCGCAGCTCGCAACGAGGGAAAAAGGCCGTCCATGCCAGAGCCGTCGCAAAAAAACGTGTCCCCCTTGGAACATGAGCGGCGCACCCTGCCCTTCAACCCTGAACTCCCACGTGGGGTCCCGAGGCCTACGCGAGTGGAGCTGACAGGGATCAGGGAGGATGCCTCTGGCGAAACGCTCCTGCAGGTCCACGGGACAAAAAGACAAACCATGAGCAGCGGCTTTTAATTCAGCTGGGAGATTGTCACGACGCCACGCGTCTCGGGCAGGGCACGTAAAATACCGGTGGAACAGGGTGCCTAGTTCTCCGCAGAGCATGCATTGGTCAAATAGGTCCTGGTCGTGTTGATGCAGTCGATGCTGGCACCAGTGCGACCGTATGACCATTCCCCTCAAGGTTCGCTGCTCTCGAACACCTCGAGCACCACCAGTCCCAACCTCCACCTCCCCCGAATCATCTTCAGCGACCTTGAGGTGCACAAGTTCATTAAGAGGGCGCCAAAATATATCATCGACCCAAGACCTCCCCCCACCAATCTTAGCCAAACCTGCCGCGTCTGAGAGACGCCTGTCAGCAAACTTGGCCGTGCGGGCAATAAAAGCAGGCGAGAGGTCACGGAGATTCCAGGTCTCTCCTGTGGTTCCCACGACCCTCCAGGGGCCCAGAAACTTGAAACCCACGTGGCTTAAAGTGAGGACCAGGGCGGCGGGATCTTTTACACGAGCCCAGGGCCTGGATTTCTCGGCCGTGGCAAAAGGCCGCCGCGAAACGAGCCGAAACAGCAGGGCCGGTCAGCAAGCCATCTTGAAGGATGTGCGTGTGCGCACGAACCGCATCGGCCGTCAGCATCACCAGTGGGTCGCGAGACCACCCCCCTCGCGAGCACATCGAGGCAAGCTCTAGCGAGCAGCCCCTCGGCAGACGGCCTTCCGCTCGGAGCGCTGCGACCCTGAGGCTCTTGAGCTTCCCAGTGGGGAGCCCCTGGGTATTGGCCCCCCGCACAAAGCCTTGGCCAAGACCCCAGCCCTGAAGACGTTCCCGGCGGACGCTCCCGCTTCCTTGAGGGCGAGAACTTTTGAAACCTTCCTCTGGGCGTCCCAAAAACGGTCCTGGTGGGTGGAAACCCGAGGTCGCGAGCCGTCGGTCGCATCACCTCCCAAGTCTCGGTGGACCTGGCACTTCACTTCTGGCGGCAAGCTGCAATCCTCAAGAACCTGCTCCGCCAGAGGCTTGGAGGAAGACAGAAGGCCGAGCTTGTTCAGAGCAATGGGCAGACCCTTCTTTTTCAAGTCCGTCGCAATAGTGGTGTAAGCTGAGACAAGTTGGCGTCTGACCGTGCCAGCACCACCTACGGCGTGCAGGGACACGTCGTCTATCACACTTTTGAGCCAGACTGTGGGGTTGGCATAAGCAGCTCGGCGCAGACAGGCAAGCAAAAGGAGGCGAGCCAAAGAGGTGGCCCCCGAACAACCTGCTATAACCGTGCAATTACAAAAAAAGAGGCGATTGATTGACCCCTGCCAAGTCACTCTACGAGGCGCTCGATACACTGCACAGCATGCACGGAACAATGGCAGGGGAAATCTGCGTGTTCTGCTGCAGCTCACAGCTCCTGGTGAGAAATATGTTCGTAACATTTTCGGAGGTACAGAAAAAGAGTGAATGTCTCCAGACCTGGGACCATCCGCGCATACGCTGCAAGAGCGTTGTGCACCCATGTGCTCTTGAAACAGGCTGTGCTCGTGCTCCTCCCCCAGAAAAACCGAACGTCTAAAGCACGCTCCCATTCCGAGCACAGCCTGTGGCGGATCCTGCTCCAGACCAGAGCCCAAAGGGGCAGCAACCCTATCGGGCGGACACCCCCTGACGGTTGGTCCAAGAAAACCATGAGGACGAGCCACATCGGGCCAACTTTCAGGTGCCACTCCCAAGAGTTGAGGATGCCAACAAAAGACTGGACCAGGGGCCTCGGCAGCTGGAGGAGCAGACGCGGACTGAAAGAGTCCCAGCCTAAGCAGGTGGACGGCGAAAAAGACGCCGCCGCTTCCAAGGCTTGCTGTACAGTAGGAGGAGGAGGAGGAGGAGGAGGAGGAGGAGGAGGAGGAGGAGGAGGGAAGGAGGGAGGAGGAGGAGGGAGAGAGGAACGGAGGGAGGGAGGAGGGAGAGGCGGAGGAGAGAGGGAGGGGGAGCAGGAGAGAAGGGGAATCGGCGGGGGGAAGGGGGAGCGATATCCAGACGACCCCCCCGTGACTGCTTCGGGGCCGGTCGGACTCATCTGAATGGCTCTCTCGCTCGGAACAGCCTTCAGAACTCTGAAACACGGGCGCAGCCTCGGAGCCGCCTGCCGCCGGCTCTCTTGCCCCCCCTCCCCTCCTCTCTCCATCCGCCCCTCCTCTCGTCCCCTGGCATCGCGGCCCCCCCCACCGAGGCCAACCCCGCGGACTCCCTCAAAGCGACCGACACTTGATCCATGTCAGAGCGGTGGCATGGGTAGCACTCTGGCCTCCGGAGCCCCGTTTGTTTCCCCCCTGCCCTGTTACAATCGGGGCGCTGACCTAAGGAACCCTAAATACGGAACCAAGCCCCTTTTTCCCATAAGTTCAACCTCGATTTCCCGTGGCCAACCTCAGGAAAGCCCGAGGCAAACTTTGAAACATTCAAGGAACGCGGAGCCCCTCCCCAACGAAAAGGGTTCCTTCTTCAGGGCCCCGACTGTACCCGTGACGCCCAGAGTGGGGGGCGGCAGCGGGGGTATCGATCGAACGTCGATCGCCGATGCCTCTCCGCCACCGCCGCTGGGGCAACAAGCGGTGCCGATGCCGCTGCCCCCCGAGACCTCCTGGGGTGCGCGCTCTGCCCAGAGTTCCGAAGCGAGTCCAGCGGTGACGACGAGGGCCTCCCGGGAGGCCCCAAAAGGGGGAGAACGAACGAAGGGTAGCGGTATAGGGGATTTTTCCTCGTCTGGAGGCCGCGCCGCATCGCCGACACATCGCCGATACATCCGCGATACATCGGCGATGCATCGGCGATGCACCAGCGTTGCATTGTCGACTTGGGCGATGCATCGGCGACGCTGGCGTGAGGCAGGTCGGGTTCCGCATCGAGCCGCATCGGCGATGCATCGGCGATGCAGCGCGACCCTCCGACCCCATCTACTCGGACCCTCTGTGGGAGGCCTAGCTTTAGTTGGAGGGTGAAAGAGGGGGTCGGCAACAGGGGGTCTTCAATGGAGGCTGAATGGCCCATGTATGCTCAATGCATCGCTCATGTATGTGATCGGGTACGATTGGCATCCAATGTTGGCGGCCATGGAGGGCCAGTCGTTCGTGCCCGCGCGTTGCCCGCGCTGGCAAACGCGCCGTTCATCCATGACCGTTCATGCGTGCGGCCTTCTTGCATATCGCGCGTGGGGCCGCGAAGTGGCGTGCAAGTGTGTCTTGATTATGCTATTGATGATCGCGTATGTTCCCAAACGATGACTTGTCGACCCCCAAGACAAATTTGGAATGGGCCCCGCGATTCTCCCAACATGTGAATTCACATGTTCCTTTTTTCCCCAAATGCGAATTCACATTTTTCCCCAAGATGTGAATTCACATGTTGGCTCTTTATAGAGATTTGAATGCAAACTTCCACAATGTGAATTCACATTTTCCTTTTTTCCCAACATGTGAATTTACCGTTTGTTTTTCCCCACAATGTGAATTCACATTGTGCCCTGGCCCTCAAGATCCCCCAAAAAGAGGCGCAGTGTTCCGAATGTCAGATTGACTGGGCAGATTTCGACACTCACCTCCCCGCTTTCGTTTATTCCAACCTCTTATTCATGCGCCCTCAGCGCACGTTGCCTTCGTCGCCTTGCCCGACCCCCCCGCCTCCTTGCTTCGTTGACCCTTAAGTCTCGCGCATGCGTGCAGGCGGGGAGCTTCAATTGGAGCCCCCGCCGAACACAGCAATCGAGAATGTATCGCCCATGCATGGCCCATGGACACACCATTGCCGGGACCCTGCGCCCGACTCCCACTTTCACCCTCCAATTTAGGTCGGGCCTGTCCCCCTACAGGAGGATCTTGGGCGAAAATTGAACATACCCCCCAAAATACCACCAGAACGATCAGAAAAATCGTCAACAAATACCTCCAGACTATTTTTCTTGACTGTTTTTGAGCACCCCTCCTGCAGAGGGACCGGCCCGACTTAGGCCTCGATCCCCCGAGGCAGGGATCGAGCGCCGACCGCCGATGCCTCCGCCGCCGCCGCCGCGGTAGAGGCCTCCTAGATGGTGTCGGAGTAGATGGGGTCGGAGGATCGCGCCTCATCGCCGATACATCGCCGATGCATCGGCGATGCATCGGCGATGCACTGGCGATGCATGGTCGACGTCGGGGATATGTCCGAGACGTCGGCGTGGAGAAAATCGGGCCCCGCATCGAGCCGCATCGCCGATACATCGGCGATGCGGCGCGATCCTCCGACCCCATCTGCTCCGACCGCATCTGGGAGGCCTAGACGCGGGGCCCCGACTTAGGCCTCGATCCCCCGAGGCAGGGATCGAGCGCCGACCGCCGACGCCTCCGCCGCCGCCGCCGCCGGGCCCCGCGGGAAGAGCTGGGCCGCGGGCGCCGCCAGCGCGGGAGCGACCGGGCGCAGGCCTCGCGGCGGGCAGGGCGGCGGGCCGGGATCGGCGGGCACCGGGCCCGGGCCCCTGCAGGAGCGTCGTCCTGCTCTGGGTGCCGCTCGGGCGTGCCTCCTCCTCCTCCTCCTCCTCGCCCTCCTCCTGCTGAGGAGGAGGAGGAGGAGGAGGAGGAGGAGGAGGAGGAGGAGGAGGAGGAGGGAGGAGGAGAGGAGGAGGAGGGGAGGGAGGAGGAGGAGGAGGAGGAGGAGGAGGAGGAGGAGGAGGAGGAGGAGGAGAGAGGAGGGGAGGAGGAAGGAGGAGGAGGAGGAGGAGGAGGAGGAGGGCGGTGAGGAGGAGGGGGAGAACCTCCCCCTCCTCCTCACCGCCCCTGGGTGCCCCCCCCCCCCCCGGGGGCTCGCCGCCGAGGGGAAACCACGGCCGTGGTGGCGAGGCCTCCCCGGGGGCGCGCAGCGGCAGCGGCGTCTGGGGCCGCGGTCGCCGGCCGTGCTCGTCGCCCAGGGCGATGCTCAGGGGGCCCAGGGACACACAAGTAGATACTCCAGATTTCGTAATAAAAGGGAGGGGGTCTGGACCCTCCAAGACAAGCCATTTCAGACCTCCCCCGTGGGAGAACCCTCCAAAACATCGTCCCCAGACCCCCCAGGCCCTCCAAGATAGCCTGGAAGAGACCCCCCCCCGAAATGAGACCCCCCTCCCTTTATTACGAAATCTGGAGTACACACAGATCCCAGGATTCCCAATATTTTTCCACATGTTCTGTATTGTCTTCCCCCCCCGCTTCCCATGCTGACCCATCTTTTCTAGGGAATCGACGATGACTCGTGTCTGTGTTCTTCTTCCCCCTGACTTATGATGTTCCAGCCTACTTTAGCCTTGGCCACCAGAAAGAATTTCGAGCACCAAGACAGTGCCGAGACTCGAGGGTTTTCACGTGTCAGTCCCCAGGACGCACTCCTTCGGCACTGTTTCGGCACTTCTATGGGTGCTCGAAATTATTTTTGTGATGCGGTTCTTAAGAATGATGGGAGCAGCATAGCCTGGACCCTGAGAGCCAGGTGATCGTTTTTATTTTCGGCGTTTCGACATTTGGCGGAAAGTGGGGAGGGGGGGTCTGGCTCCGGACCTCTGCTTGGTGCGACTGTTTGCAGCAATGCGGCCGATGGGGGAGGGACCGCACCTGCTCGAAACGTGCGCCAAAAACAGCCAAGATCTACTCCATGAGGGGGGGGAGGGGGGGGGTGCGAGGGTCCGCGCCGATCGGCAAAACACGGAATAAAAAACGACCACTAACGCGTCTCCTCTGCGAGCCCGTTTGCATGAAGAGGCCCTAAGCCACACACATAAACAGACACAAAACCCAGGATGCCCCACATCTATCGATGTTTTCTGGGCTTCGTCTCCCCACCAACTGCCATGTTTTCCCATGTGTTCGTGGGAATCGGCGTTTATGAGTGTCTGTGTTTTCTCCCCCTGCTGATTATAATCATTCGCGGTAGCGCCCGTGATCCCCCCCTCCTCCTTCCCCCCTCCAGGTCGCGTCAGGACCCGCGCCGGCGCCAGGATCGGTCGGCATCGAGCCAGGAAGCTGGGCAGGGATAGCTAGGGGGACTGGAGCTGGAGGGCGGCTCCTCTTTCAAGCGGCACTCTCGCTTGAATGGCAGTGCCATGGGACGCCCGTCTTCCAGAGGGGTGCTTGTCGCAGAGCGTGGAGCGGAATGCCCATGGGCACCCATGAGGCAGGACTTTGCGGCACCGAGCCCGGAAGCTGGGCCAACTCGGAACCTGCGTCAGATCGGGCCGCAGCAGCACCTGGCCATCGCTCGGACGTCCATTCCCTGTGTTTTTTTCGGTTTCGTGCGTGGTTTTTTCGCCGAATGATCAAGGATGCTCCTCGATGATCCTCGCCGAAGAAAAAATGCACACGTCCGAGCGATGCCAAGTGCACGGGAGCGGCAGGGGGGGAGACCTCCTGGCGGGAGGACTTCTCGGGCGGACAACAGAAGCAGCACCAGCGCGCGTGGGCTACAGTCATGCTGAACATCGCTGCTCTTCGCATCCTGGGTGGGCTCTGGTTTTCCCATCTACGGCAGACTGTTTTGCACAGGACACGCGGCAGGACACATGACTCCTCCGCTGGCAATAGCCTCCGAAACCACCTGACACGAGAGTATCCTTGCCCTGGGACTGCAGGGGACACGACGCGCGATACACAGGACACACATATACCTCTGATTTGGCAGGGTCGACCTAGTCATCCGTGCCGAATGTAGCACCTATTCCTGCCCGGCTGCCTCCTCCTCCTCACCAGGCTTCGTGTCACCCCTCCAGGGAGGCCCCGTCAGACCGCAGCAGGGCTTCCGAGTACCACACGATCTGCCAAATTTCGTGCCCCTCCCGCCCTTCCGGGGAGGCCCCGCCAGACCGCGGCAGCGCAACGGAGTACCATGAACGCTTTATTTTCGGCGATGACGGGCGTCATGAGTCTTGGGGGGGGGCGAGGGGGGGTATGACGTAACGCCGCCCCCCCCGCCGTGTGACTCCGGCACCACTGCCGCGCCCGCGCGCACGACGACGACGACGAGCGACGAGCGACGAGCGACCAGCGACGACGACAACGACGACGACGACGACGCGAGCAGCATGTAGGTGGCGATCTGCCCCACACCGCGTGTGTACACCACAATGCTCGCGTGCACCACAGCGCGTGCACACCACACCGCCCGCGTACCCCGCAACAGCCGCGTGCAACGCAGCACCTGTGTACAACACAGTGCTTGCGTGCACCACAAGGCCCGTGTACACGCCCGTGTACAACACAACGATAGTGTACACCGCAGCAATTCTGTGCAACACAGCGCCTGTATACACCACAATGCTTGCGTGCACCGCAGCGCCTGTGCACACCACGGCGACTGTCTACACCACGGCATCCGCGTGCAACGCAGCGCCGGTGTACACTAGCGCCTGTGTGCACAGGACAAGTAGAAGGAGCATGTAGGTGAGGATCTGCTGCGGACAGCCGAACGCCACGCCAGTGGAGTGCTGATAATAGAATGCGACGTTTCTCCCTTTTCCTTCCTCCTCCGCCTCCACCTCCTCCTCCTCCACCTCCTCCTCCTCCTCGTTCTACTCCTCCTGCACCCATCCCCCCTTTCGCGCGGGCCGGCGCTACAGCGCACGTGCGCATCTCTGCGTGCACCGCAGAATGGTTTATTGAATCAGTCCACTTGGTTCTCGGACGGCCAATCTTGCAGAAGCTCCTGGACGCAGATGGGAAGAATTTGGATGATGCGGGCGGACTCGGGAAGGCTCGTAGACTCCAGCGGCGCTCATTTTCCACAAGGATTCCTTTCCAAATCCTATATAAGACAACATTTTCTGTGCAATCTACAGGCGCTCCATTTGTCATATGTAATCCTTCTAAAATGCTATATGCAACCGTGGTGCTCTGTTGCACACGGTTGCTGCGGTGCATACGGGCGCCGTGGTGTACACAGGCGCTGTGGTGCCCGCAGGCATTATGGTGTACACTGGTGCTATGCTAGACACGGCTGATGTGGTGTACGCAGGCGCTGTGGTGTCCACAAGCGCTATGGTGCCCGCAGGCACTGTGACACACACTGGCGCTGTGTTGCACGCGGCTGCTTAGGTGTACGTAGGTGGTGTGGTGTACACAAGTGCCGTGGTGCACGCAGGCACTGTGGTAGACATTGGCGTTGTGGTGCAGATCGCCACCTGCATGCTGCTGCTACCCGTCCTCGGCCATTCCTGGGCATTCCCAAGCGTCACCGGCCCCCTCCACCCCCCAAAATGATTGCCGCCATCGGCCCGGAATAAAAAAAACAGGCTCCAACCGCGTCCGCGCGCACGACGATGACGAGTGACGAGCGACGAGCGACGAGGACGACGACGACGACAACAGCGACGACGACGACGACGACTGCGGACCAGACTCTTATGCGGACACCTATGCGGATCTCGATGGGCACGGCGGCAGTGCCCAGAGCGCACTGGGGGGGAGAGCGTTACGTCATAGGGTGTGGGGGGAGGGGGAGGCGGGGCCATGACGCCCGTCATGCCCCAAACAATTAAGAAACACGCTCCGTCTTCCATCCCCTTGGAGGAGGCCGCACCAGGCCGAGGCAAGGTACTGGAGCATCCCGTGATTTTTCTCCGCTTCCGTGCCCCTGCCACACCTCCAGGGCGGCCGCGTCAGACCGTGGCAGGGCATCGGAACACCCTATTCCTTACCAGGCTTCGTGCCACTCCCACACCTCCAGGGAGGCCCCGCCAGACCGCGGCAGGGTATCGGAGCATCGTGTTCTTTACCAAATGTCGTGCCCTTCCCACCTCTCCAGGGAGGCCCCTGCAGACCGCGGAGGCGTGTCGGAGCACCGTATTCTTTACCAAATGTCGTGTCCTCCCACACCTCAACTGGCCCCGCCTGTGCCGCCTGAGGCCTCCAGGGAGGCCCCCCCCAGACCAATTGCCCTCAGCGGCTCGCAGGGACCCTGCCACGCTGCCCACTGGGGTCCCAGATACCGCCCACAGGAGGTCGGGGTCGGCCAAGAGGGGGGCGTCCAAGAGGGGGGGGGTGCAAATCGTGGCCGGCGGCATGTGCGCGGCCCCGGGGGGGGGGGGGGGGGCAGGGACGCATTGAAATAAGAAGAGGCGCCATGAGATCTGGGGAGATATCATAGCCCCCGCCATGATGTCCACCCCCCCCCCTAGTCGTCACCCACCTCATTGGCCGCCCCCGAAGAGGCCCCACCCGTGCACTGCCGCGGAGGCCCCGAGCGCGCCCACAGAGGCACCCCCCACGTTGCCCTCCCGCGCCGACCGCCCGCGGTGCGCCGCTGGGCTCGCGGGGCGCACGGGAGAAGACTGGGGGACCTGCGGAGACGGGCTGCGGCGCGAAGAGGGGAACGCGAGCGTTCTTTTTTACTCGGCGTTCGACATTGTTTCGACACTGCTTCGACACTTGTACGGGTGCTCAGAATTATTTTGGGGATGCGGTTCGGTCCTTGAGTACGATGGGAGCAGCATAGCCCGGACCCTGAGAGCCAGGTGGGCGTTTTTTATTTTCGGCGTTTCGACATTTGGCGGAAAGGGGGGGAGGGGGGGTCTGGCCCCAGACCTCTGCTCAGTGCGCCTGTTTTGAACCGTGCGTCCTACGGGGGGAGGGACTCAGCCTGGTCGAAGCAGGAGCCCCGAACAGCCAAAATCCACTCCCTGGTGGGGGGGAGAGGGGGGGGTTTGGGGCCCGCGCCGATCGGCAAAATAATGAATCAAACAACGATCACATGGCCACTGGGGTTCAGGCATCTGTCTGAGGTGTGGCCCTTTGCCCGCACCTGCAGGCGTCTTTCAGCCCTCTTTATCCCTACGCAGCCATGGTCTCGGCCAGAGGGAGTACTGCCGACAACACCACCACTCGACAAGAAATACAGCTTTGATGCACGCCGTGCTACGCGTGCGCACAAGACAACAGTCGGGGCATGCATGTGCAGGAGGATGGGGAGAACATACAGAGAAGGTTCACAGAGAACTCATGGGAGGTCTGCGTGGGCACAATTCATGGCTATGCAGCCAGTGGGCGGGGGCCTCCAAGCTGGAGTAAGCCTGTTTGGGCCCACGATGACGCGGGACCAAGCGGGATCAGGCGAAGCTGGACAACTCTCGACCGCGGATCTACCTGCGCCGATGCCGACTTGAACCCTCAGGAGCTGCAAACGAGAGGAGGGTCGAGGGAGGAGGAAGAGGAGGGTCGAGGGAGAAGGAATAGCTGACCGAAGGGGGAGAGGAGGGCCGAGGGAGGAGGGAGAGGCGGGTCGAGGGAGGGGGGGACGAAGAGGATGGTCGAAGAGGACACGCAGGGCGGCCCGCTCCCCTCTCTCGGGGGGGGGGGGGCTGTCGCCTGTGCCGCCGCCGGCGTTGCGGAGCTCGACGACCAGCGACCCGCGCTCGGCAAGCAGCTGCTCGCACTTTCTCTCCTGGAGGGAGGGGGGCGGTCGTCCACGTCGTCGGCGTCGACGTTCTCGTCCTCGCCCTCGTTGTCCGCCTCCTTCCCCATGAGATGACTCCAAGAGGGCCCCAATACGGCCCAGGAGGCGCCCAAGAGGGCCGCAAGAGGAGGAATCCGAACTGACATTGTGAGCCTTTCCCCGAAAGATGGCCCCCGAGCGCGCCAGCAGGGCCCCCCAAAGGCCTCCAAGATGCCCCGATAGGCTCCCGAGATGCCCCGAAAGTGCATTCAAGATGCCGCCGAGAGGCTTCCCAGCGGACCCCGACCGGCCTCAAAGAGGCCTCCTGTCTGCGACCCAAGCCCCAGGTGCGGTGGCGGGATGGGCCGAAGGCAACTAAAGCCGCCGCCCCCTGTGGCTTACTACAGTCGGGCCGCTGAGGAAGGAACCCTTTTCGTTTGGGAGGGGCTCAGTGTTCCCCAATTGTTTTACAGGTTGTCTCAGTGTGTCCTAGGTTTTCCTTAGGTTTTCGATGGGAAGTCGAAGCTTAACTTATGGAAGAAAGGCGCCTCGTTCCTGAGTTGGGGTTCCTTCTGACAGCGATTCGACTGTACAGGGGTGCACGGCGTGCTGACGTTTGGTCACGCTGCTTCCTTATGAATCTTCTCACTGGTGCCCCGGCCGATCGCGCCAGCCACCCGGAAGGAAGGCCAGAAACAAACATTAGCCAAGCGAAAGACCCAACCATAGTACCGCAATTGTGAATATCTTCTTCGGTGACGTCCCCTATGGGGCCACGAAATGCTTTAATGGGTGGGCGAAACGCAGGGAGCAATGCCTGTACTCAGGGAGCAATGGCTGTACTGGGTGGTGGCGGACGCATGCGGGCGGTGCCACTGGGACCTTCCGTGGAGCCCCCTATGGGGCCACGAAGCGCTGTACTGGGTGGGTGAAACGCAGGGAGCAAGGGCTGTGCTGGGTGGTTGCGGACGCATGCGGGCGGTGCCACTGGGACCTTCCGTGGAGCCCCCTATGGGGCCACGAAGCGCTGTACTGGGTGGGCGAAACGCAGAGAGCAAGGGCTGCACTGGGTGGTGGCAAACGCATGCGGGCGGTGCCACTGGGACCTTCCGTGGAGCCCCCTATGGGGCCACGAAGCGCTGTACTGGGTGGGTGAAACGCAGGGAGCAAGGGCTGTACTGGGTTGTGGCGGACACATGCGGGCGGTCCCACTGGAATCTTCCGTGGAGCCCCCTATGGGGCCACGAAGCGATTTAATGGGTGGGTGAAACGCAAGGAGCAAGGGCTGTACTGGGTGGTGGCGGACGCATGCGGGCGGTGCCACTGGGACCTTCCGTGGAGCCCCCTATGGGGCCACGAAGCGCTGTACTGGGTGGGTGAAACGCAGGGAGAAAGGGCTGTACTGGGTTGTGGCGGACGCATGCGGGCGGTGCCACTGGGACCTTTGGTGGAGCCCCCGATGGGGCCACGAAGCGCTGTACTGGGTGGGCGAAACGCAGAGAGCAAGGGCTGTACTGGGTGGTGGCGGACGCATGCGGGCGGTGCCACTGGGACCTTCCGTGGAGCCCCCTATGAGGCCGCGAAACGATTTAATGGGTGGGCGAAACGCAGGGAACAATGGCTGTACGGGGTGGTGGTGGAGAGGAACGCGGGGACCGTCTCTTCAAAACGAGGACCCAACACCACAGGATGGCTGGGAACAAAGAACTCGCCCCCAGGACTGCCAAGACGGGCCCGGATGGCCTCCAGGATGCCTCCAAGACGGCCAAGGCTGCCCAAGATGGTCTCCAAGACGGTCCCAATGGGCCTCCAAGACGGTCGAGATGGCCCCAAGACGGCCCAAGATGTCCCCCAGACGGCCCAAGAGGCACCCAGGACGCCCCAAAAGGGCTCCAAAAGGACCCCCCGGAGGCCCAAATCATTGAACTCCCATTGGTTGCTCAATGGCTTTAGCGTTCTCGCCATTTTGGACGCCCCACGCTCCAAGACGGCATCATAGGCTCCCAAGATCGCCCCCAAACGGCCCAAGAGCACCTTGAGAACGCCGCAAAACGGCCCAAGAGGCCCGAAGAACGCCTCAAGACGGCCCCCGAAGCCCCAGGAGGACCCCAAGAGAGGCCAAGGAGGGGTACAGCCGGACCAAGGACAGAAACAAGTCTTTCAAGAACACGAGACCCTTCGGCCGGCCAAAACACACAGAAATCCAAGGGTACCCTCCCCAGGATGCACAAGAACGTCTAACAGGCACGAAAAACACTATGGTGCCCTCCCTGAACTGGCCTCGATCTTATAACTCGTACCGACACCTCCGAAAACCCACATAACCACAATCCAGTGGCGGAGAGGAGCGGCAACGCAACTGGGCAATCATGCGAGGTCGCGAGGACCGACTTGGAGAAGTGGAACATCACATGCACTTGACGGGCGCCGCGGCAAGAGAAGGTTGAAGAGGGGCGGCTGGGCGGAGCAAAAGAAGAGTAGGCGCCCGCCTGGTGGAAAGGTTCGACCCGCCTGTAGACCTTAGGGTTATGTACCTCCCTGCCATACCTCCCTGCCAGCATACTCCCACCACCGTACCCCAATATGTTAGGTAGAGGCTTTCCGGCTTGCCGACAGTGAGTGCAACATGTGTCAGGTATGTGCGGCGGGCAAAAAGGGTGTGCAGGGGACTGGCATAGGCTGTGCTGGCTTGCCCAAACGAAGAAGCAATTATTGGGTTGCTACCCGCGTTCTTTTCAATTCCTCGGGAGGGGGGCTCTTCACCGTTTCCGGTCCTAGTGGGGGGGTCCCCCGTCACTGTGGCCACCATTGTGGCTTTTGTACTACGCCTAAGGGAGGCCTGCAGGACTGAAGATGTGCAAGAAAAATGCGGCATGAGAGTTGCCAAATGTAAGTAACGAGGCAAAGAGGCGTGACTGGTCTAGACTGAATTGAATCAAAAGAAAAGTATAGGGCAAGCTGTGCAAGTGGAGATGCTGCTGTAATGCAGCAGTCTGCAACTGTGCATTGTGCAAGGCTGGTCCAAAAAAGGCTGGCCTGCGGGCGCAACTCTCTCCGAAACTCCTCCTCCTCCTCCTCCTCCTCCGCATCCCGCTGCTCCCTGTCCTCCTGTGAGCCCTCTTTCATTGGATCGGCGGGAAGACCTGCGAGCTCCAAATGGTCCACGGGGCGCTGCAAGGCACTCCTCGCGTCAGGGTGCCCCTGCGACGCTCGACAGGCTGGCCGCAAGCAGCATCCTCTGATGATGCCGCTCGGACTCGAGAGGCAAAACTGAAGGGGAACTGGGACAAACAAATAAATACACACAAATACAAATATCCCCCATGTGTTCCCATATCTTCTGGGTTTTTGTCTTCCCCCCCACTTCCTATATTTTCCAATATTTTCTTGGGATCGCCGATTAATTATGTCTGTGTGTTTTTTCCCCTCCTGAAAAACGACGAGTCGAAAACAGTCAACAGCAAAACGGACAGGTGGAAAGAGGGGGAACATCAGGGGGGGACCAAGTGAGATCGGCGATGCACAGCCGGAGGATCGGAGATGCCCCCGAGAGCAGATCCGCACGCCCAGAGGCGGGGTGGGCCATCGGGCCCCCATCGGCGCTCAATGGGCGATGGGGCCCCTGAGCCCATCCGCCCTGCACGCCGCCCCTGATCAGGTCCGATCGGCCGTGAAGGGCTGGCAGCCACACACCCCACACACCCCCGTCCTTCTCGTCGCACTTCTGGCGCAGGTACTGCACCTCGTCGCGGTAGCGCTCCATGCGCCCCTCGAACTCCTTCTGCACGGCCTCGACCACGCTCTGCGGCGCGCCCGCCGCGGCCCCGGCGGCCTCCCGGCGCAACGACGCGCGTGGCGGGCCGAGAGGCAGGCAGACGCGCGGTGCTCCGCCAGCGGACCTCCCTGCCCGACCCCACGGGCGGCACAAGGGCAACCCCCTCCGGCTGGCTGGTGCGCGACGACTCCGACACCGCGCACACCGTTCGATCCGAGGTATATGGTTGGGGCGAACTCCGCTGCCCGACGGCCGAGGTCCCTGGCAGGAAGGAGACGGGGAGGAAGCGGGTCCTGGACCCTGGGCGCTTTCCTGGGACTGCCTTGCTCCTCATCCCGGGCCACCTCTGACCGTCCCGAGGCCCCGGAGCCACGAGAAGGAGCCAGAGAGTTCAGCTTCCTTGCCATCATGGCGAAAGGGATCGCTCGTGCCACCGGAAGCGTGGAACGCCACCGCCTGCGTCGCCGCGTCGGTGCGGAACGAACCTGGCCGCATGCACCAACAGCGAGCCTGGCCATATGCCACTCCTGTGCCCAGGGTGGACCTCGCCTGGATCGGTGTCGGTGCCTCATTGGCGCTCCCAGGTGGAATCAGCTGCGCGCGGGCAACTCTGGGAGTGGCTTAATGGGGGGGTCATAAATGGGGGGGTCAGAAACGGTTCCCTTTCGTGCCCCCTTCGGGTCCCTCCAGAGCCCCAGGGGGCTCGTTAGGTACCGTTTGGGTACCTTTTCGGACCACTCGCCATCCCCCCATTTATGACCCCCCCATTACGCAGCGCCCAACAACTCTCGGATCGAGGCCATCCGGAGGCTGACCTCCGGAATATCCGCCTGGGCGCGGGGATCAAGTCTCCACGCCAGCGGCGTTCGGATCGGGCGTGAGAGCCTGTTGCGGTGTACGCCCCGCCCCCAAGTCGGCGGCGAGGCGCCTCATCCCCTCCCCCGTGCGCTCCGCGCACCCACGCTGGCGGATCGAAGGACCGAAAGCCAGAATGCAAGTCGCCCTCAATTCCCTGTAAGACGTGCCCACCTTCTCCTCGGGCCCGTTCGGGCACGCCGTCTCGAAGCGCTTCTCGCGCCGACGCATTCCCTCTCGGCCTCAGCGCCGGCACCGCACAGCACCTCACCGGACATGCCGCCACTGCGCGCGTGTGGGACGAAGCGTCCCAGAACCTCGACGCTGTTATTTTTCTATGACGTTGAGCGTCAGAGGTCTCGACCCGCTCCTGGAGACCAACTGCTCATCCCGCGACGTCGTTTTTTGACCGTCCTGGGGCCCCGCGAGAGCTCCCAGGGGCCGAAGAGATAGTAGAAAACTCCAGTCGCGCGTGCTTCCACCACGCGACGGGGGCCCGAGCGAGAGGCAGCCTGCGGAAGAGGAGGGGGAGGAGGCGCAGGAGGAGGAGGAGGAGGAGGAGGAGGGGAGGGGGAGGAGGAAGAGGAGGGGGAGGAGGGGGAGGAGGAGGAGGAGGAGGGACAGGAGGAGGGCGAGGAGGAGGGTGTCGCGCGTGCGTCTTGTTGTTGCTCGATGGCCCAGGATGGTCCTCGATGGTCCTCGCCGAGAAGAACTGCACACACCCGAGCGATGCCAAGGGCCCCCAGACAGCAGCCCGGAGGCCTCTCCCCAGGGGCCCGCGCTCCGCCCGTGGCGCCGTTCCTGCCCGAGCCGCTCCCATGCTGCACGGCTCCGGGCCCCCGGCGAGGCGGGGGCGAGGAGGAGGAGGAGGAGGAGGAGGAGGAGGAGGTGGGGGCGGCCGAGAATCCCAAAGATCCGGCGTCGTGACTTTTGTCCATACGGGGTCCCGGGGAGTCTCGACCCATCGTGCCGCACCGGCGATGCAGCGGCGATGCACCGGCGATGCACCGGCGACGCACCGTCGACGTCGGCGGTGCATCGGCGACGTCGACGCGAAGCAAATCGGGCTCCGCATCGAGCGGCATCGACGATGCATCGGTGATGCGGCGCGCTCTTCCGACCCCATCTACTCCGACCCCCTCTAGGAGGCCTAAAATCCCAGAGATCCGACGTCGTGATTTTTTCAATAAGGGGTCCCTGGAAGTCTCGACCCCTTCCCCAGGACCGGCTTTTCATCCTGCGTCGCTGTTTGACGGTCCCGGGGCCCGGCGAGGGCCACACAGAGGCCTAACATCGAGAGACATCTCCGTCGTGATCTCTTCCATGCGTCGACAAGCCTAGAGCTTCATCAGAGTCGCAGGCGCTGGCAGGACCGGAAGGACCCCCCTCCTGTGCGCGCGCGGCAGGACCGGAAGGACGGCATCCGCAGCCCGACTGCCAGGGCGGCCAGGCCGAGCAGGCCGGCAGCCAAGGCCCGCAGGGCGGAGGTCTGGGGAATCATCGCCCCCCTCTTTGCCGCCCCCGACCGGCGAGAGCCCCTGCAGGGCCCCCAGGGCCTCGCGATCGACGGAGCGCTCGCCCCCCCAGGCATGGAAGCCCCAGGGGCCTTCGTGGGCTGTGGCGCCCGTGCCCGCTCCCGCTCGCGGGCGAGCTCCTCCTCAAGGCGGCCGAGCTCCTCCCGCGCCGCCTTCAGCTCCGAGCGGTACATGTCAGTCTCCTGGCTCGGGGCCAGGAGCACTCGGCACCGACTCCCAGACGCGATCGCGTCGCGAGAGAATCCGGGACGGGAGGCTTTGGGCTGCTTTCGGCCTCTATCGGGGGGCCCTCGCCGGGCCTCGGGGCCGTCAAAAAACGACTCGGGACGAAAAACCGGTCCCGGGGAATGGGTCGAAACCTGTGGGGTCCCCTGACTCCGGATCCGCCCTACTTTGAGAAATTCGTAAGTAGGGCTTGGAATTCCTGCCTTACTTTTCAACCCCCGCTGATGCCAATTTCCGCCCTACTTTTCTGTTGTTGTTTCCGCCCTACTTCTGTGGATTTTCGCCCCATTTTATGTTGGGTGCAGAAATTTCCGCCCTACTGTTTCGGCTCATTATAGGTGGATTTCCGATGCAATTTTAAGTTGAAACAAAAACTAAAGTAGGGCGGATCTGGAGTCAGGGCCGACGTCATGAGAAACTCATGACGTCGGGGGTCTGGGGGGGCAGGACCAGTCGGCATCGCTTCGGGGAGTCGGGTCGGACTGAAACGTGTTTGTGTGTGTGTGTGTGTGTGTCGAATCGGTTCGGCCGCCTCCTCTGCTTCTCCCCCTCGCTCCTGCGTGGTGGCGCAGTGCGCTACAGCGGTGCCGAGATGGGGGGCGGAACCGCGTGCGAACGCAGCCACTGGGGCCTTCGGTGGAGCTTCCTGTAGGGCCCACGAAACGTGTGAGGGGTGTGCTGAGATGGGGGGAGGGCCGCATGCGCACGCAGTCCTTGGGGCCTTCGGTGGAGCTTCCCATGGGGGCACGAAACGTGTGCGAGGTGCGCCGAAATTAACATGCGAAGAGCAGAAGCAGGGATGGAAGGATGCAGGGGGAGGAGAGGAGAGGAGGAGGAAGGACGCGGGACGCTTTCTCTTCAAAACGAAGACCCAACACCACAGGACGGCTGGGAAATACAGCGCCGTGGGCAATCACATATGGAGCTCTACACCCCATCTGTCTGCGGCACTCTTCGAGCCGAACCAGGTCTGAGGGTCCCGATGCACGCCATCGCTCGGACGTCCATTCCCTATTCGTGCGTGTCTTTCACAAGATGACCCGACATGCTCCTCGATGGCCCTCGCCGAACATTGCACACGTCCGAGCGAAGCCAAGGATGGCCCCACTCCAGGAAGAGCTGCGACTCCAAGATCTCGGGTGCCCCTCTCCTCCGTCGCTGTGCTGTCTTGCGACGTGGGCTCCCTGGCATCTGCACAGCTTCCCAAGGCTGGTCGCCAATGCTTCTCTTCCCGCGCCGCTCGCATCTGAAGGGAGCTCTCGCGACGAGCCGGAAGGCCCCCGGCAGAGCGGCTGGCGGGCTCCACCACCTCTTCCAGGAGCTGCTGACCCGGGTCAGTCAGTCGGGGGCGGCCAAGAGGGGGGCGTCCAAGAGGGGGGGTGGGGGTGGCGCAAATCAGGGCCGGCGGCATGTGCGCGGCCCCGAGGGCGGGGGCAGGAACGTCGTGAAAGAAAAAGAAGAGGCGCCATGAAATCTGAGGAAGTATCGTGGCCCGCACCATGATCTCCCCCCACCCCTAGTCATCACCCCCCTCCTTGCCGACCCCGAGACCCTGCCAGATCCTGCAGGCTCCTGCGCCCCAGCCTGGGTCAGTGCACCCCTGGCTCTGCAGGATCCTGCCAGATCCAGCGCTGCGGACTGACCCCCGCTTGCATCAGGTCGGGCGTGCCCCCCTGCAGGCGGGTTAAGAAATACCCCCAAGAATGCCTCAAAATCGTTCATCGCCCCTGGACTGTTTTTGGACTATTTTTGAATATCCGCCCTGTAGATGGGCAGGCCCGACTTAACGCCTGCATCGACCCGCGTCTCTTGGGTTGTGGATGCCATGGCAATGGACACTCTAACAATCCGACCATTGAATGAAAGATGTGTTTAACGTGTGTACTTAGAACATGGTCTAAACATGTTTCAGACATGTGTTTAACATAGCTAAAACATATCTGAAACATCTCTTAGACATCTGGCAACTAGTTGGCAGCATGCTTCCCAGAGATCCGATGCCGTTTTTTTCAATACGGGGTCCCAAGAAGTCTCGACCCATTCCCCAGGACCGGCTTTTCATCCTGCGTCGTTTTCTGACGGTCCCGGGGCCCGGCGAGGGCCGCCAGAGGCCGAACATCGGGAAAAACCTCCGTCTTCTGTTTTTCAATGCGTCGGAGGTCTGGGTTCCTCTCCGTGGATCGTCCTCCACAGCTCTTGGGGCTCGACCTCTGCCGTCGCCAGCTCGGCCAGGGGGGGGGCGCTCGGAGGCGAGGAGGAGGAGGAGGAGGAGGAGGAGGAGGAGGAGGGGGGAGGAGGAGGAGGAGGAGGAGGAGGAGAGGCGGAGGAGGAGGAGGAGGAGGAGGAGGAGGAGAGGAGGAGGAGGCAAGGAGGAGGAGCGAGGAGGAGGAGGAGGAGGAGGAGGAGGAGGAGAATGAGATGAGGAGGCGGAGGAGGAGGAGGAGAGAGGAGGAGGAGGAAGGAGGAGAAGGAAGAGAAGGAGGAGGAGGAGGAGGAGGAGGAGGAGGAGGAGGAGGAGGAGGAGGAGGAGGGGGAGGATGAGGTAGAGGATGAGGATGAGGATGAGGAGGAGGAGGAGGGAGGAGGAGGAGGAGGAGGAGGAGGAGGAGAAGAGGAGGAGGAGAGGAGGAGGAGAGGAGGAGGAGGAGAAGGAGGAGAAGAGAAAGAGGTAGGAGAGGAGGAGGAGGCGGAGGAGGAGGAGGAGGAGGAGGAGGAGGAGAGGAGGAGGGAGGAGGAGGAGGAGGAGGACGGGGGGGGAGGAGAGGAGGAGGAGGAGGAGGAGGGTGGCGAGGAGAGGAGGAAGAGAAGGAGGAGGAGGAGGAGGGAGGAGGAGGAGGAGGAGGAGAGGAGACGGAGGAGGAGGAGGAGGAGGAGGAGGTGGAGAATGAGGAGGAGAGGAGGAGGAGGAGGAGGAGGTAGGAGGGGGGGGGAGGAGGAGGAGGAGGAGGAGGAGGAGGAGGAGGAGGAGGAGGAGGAGGAGGAGGAGGAGGGGAGAAAGAGGAGGAGGAGGAGGGAGGAAGGAGGAGAGGAGGGAGGAGGAGGAGGAGGAGGAGGAGGAGGAGGAGTGAGGAGGAGATGGAGGAGAGAAGAGGCACGGCCCCCGTCCCGCGCGGGGGCCCGCACGGACGCCCCCCGGCGGGCGAGCGCGCGGCGCCCGCGGGGCGCGCGAGGCCCGCTCCGCCCCGTGCTTCCGCAGGGGCTCCCGACGGCCGCTCGGACTCGGGCGCTCGGGGGACTGCTGCGGTTGCTCCTCCCCCACGTCTCCCTTCTCCCCTCCCCGTCTCCTCCTCTCCCCTCCTCATCCCTCCTCATCCCTCCCCCTCCTCCTCCTCCCGACTCATCCTCCTACTCCTCCCCTCCGCCTCCACGTCCTCCTCCTCTCTTCGTCCTCCGCCGTCTCCTCCTCCCGTCTCTCCTCCTACTCTTGCTCCTCTCTTGGCTCCTCCTCATTGCTCTCCTCCGTCTCCTCTGCCTCTTCATCTCCTCCTCCTCCTCCTCCTCCTCCTCCTCCTCCTCCTCCTTCCCCTCCTCCTCCTCCTCCTCCTCCTCCTCCTCCTACGTCTCCTCGTCCTCCGTCTCCTACTCCGTATCCACCTTCCCTCCTCCGTCTCCTACTCCGTGCCCTCCTTTGTCTCCTCTGCAGAAGATGTGAGGGCCCCGCGCAGTTATACGTTGAGGGCAGTCGTCGGACATCTTGTGTGGAGGGAAGGCTATGGCTAGGCTTGTTTTCTGCACGTGTGGATTATCATAGACTCAGAGCCGCGTACGGGGCAGTTTAGGTCACCCAGCACTTAGATGGGAGCCTTGGGGTCCCTCAAGAACGAGCTGGACGCGCGGCGCGAAAGAATACCCCGATTCCCCCCTTCGCCCCCCGGACGAGGCCGACGATGAGAGCGATGAGGGAGACACCGCACATGGGCCCCGAACAGATAAAGTCTGAGGATCGGGCAGGATCGCCGATGCATCGGCGACGGCAGGATGGAGAAGATCGTGCCCCAGATCGCGCCATATCGCCAACGCATCGGCGATGCGGCGCGATCCTCCGAGAGAAGAACGTGCTCCAGATCGCGCCACATCTCCGATGCGGCGCGATCCTCTGAGCCCATCGGCTCTGGCCGGATTTGGGAGGCCTGGAGATGACGATGATGAGCGCAAATCTTTCTCAACGATCCAAGCAATCCAAGGCGCCGAAGGCGCCGAAGGATCGACACCGCGAGCCCAGCGGGTTGGGAAGCCAGCCCCTCAGCCCCGCCAAAGCCTGCCGCCAACCACCCGCTCACCCACCCACCCATCCACTCCTCCTCATCATCATCATTCTCCCTCTTTCTCATCCTCCCCGTCTTCCGCCCTCCTCCTCCTCCTCCTCCTCCTCCTCCTCTATCCCTCTTCCTTCTAGAGAACCCCCCCTTTCGCAGCAGCAGGCGCGTCCGCAGGGCAGGCCTGGGCGTTTCGCTGGAGACGTCCCGACAAGTTGCGATCCTCCAGCTATCAAACAGCTCCAACGGTTTTGCTACAGAGATGGAGGGCCAGAACATTCCAAGGTGCAGCTCTCACCTGTGGGTCGCGCACACGCGCACATTCGCTCTCAACATTCCTGACTGTCACCAGGATGCAGGGCAGGTCTGTTTCAAAATGCGGCTTTCGCCTTGGAGCCTCGCACATCCGTTTTGCAGCGATTCCAACAATTACAAGAACGGCGGGCCGATCGCTAAACAAAATGCGGATCTCGCTCGAGACATCCTCAAACTCCACGACATGCAGTTCCAACATGTGCAAGTGATACACGGACGGGAAACAACTCATTTTCTGAACGGGGCTGGCGCTTGAGACTGCCGCACTCTTCGTGACTAGTGCTCTGACGTTGTGCACCTCTTACACAGCTGGGAGGCCAGATCCCTCTCGCAGCGGGGGTAGTTATGGCCGGGCGTGCTCCTGGGCAGTCTCATCCTTTCTTTGC